TCCAGGTGGCTAACAGATACATGAAAAGATGTTCAACATCACTCATCATCAGGGAAATGAAAATCAAAATCACAATGAGATATCATCTCACACATATCAGAATGGCTAAAATAAAAAACACAGGAAATAAGAAATATTGTCAAGGATATGGAAGAAAGAGGAGTGCTCGTGCACTGTTGGTGAGAATGCAAACTGGTGCAGCCACTGTGGAAATAGTTGGGAGGGTTCCCAAAAAATTAAAATGAGAAATACCATATGATCCAGTTATTACATTATTGGGTATTTACCCGAAGAAAATGAAAATAGTAATATGAAAAGATATATGCACTCTTATGTATACTGCAGTTATTTACAGTAGCCAAGATTTGGAAACAACCTAAGTGTCCACTAATAGATGAAAGGATAAGGTAGATATAGGGTGTGTGTGTGTGTGTGTGTGTGTGTGTGTGTGTGTGTGTAAATAAATTAAATTAAATCATTGGGACTACATCAAAATAAAAATATCCATTACACATGTTATATATAATATATATATAATTTCATACAATATATGGAGTATTACTTAGCCATAAAAAGGATGAGATCTTGCCATTTGCAACAACATGCATGAATCAAGATGGTATAATGCCAAATGAATTGTTAGGCAGGGAAAGACAAATAGACAGGATTCCATTCATATGTGAAATTTAAGAAACAAGACAAATTAATGAAGAAAAAAAGAAACAAACAAAAAACCCCAAAGACTCTTAAAACACAGAGGACAAACAGGTGGTTACCAGGGGGCAGATGAGTGGGAGGAGGGGTAAAAAAACATAATCAGATTGGCATCAGAATTCTTAATAGTTACACTAGAAACTAACAGAAAATTAAAAATACCTTCAAAATTTGGAGGGAAATGATTTCCAACCCAAAATTATTTACACAGATGAATCACTGATCAAGGATGAAGGAAGAATTTTTTGTATGGCCTCAATTTTCCTCTTATGTATCAAATTTCTAGGAAGTCATTCAACACGACATAACACTAAAATGAGGGAGTGACCAAGACAGAAGAGATGGGATCTAAAAACCAGAACACCAACATAAAACGGAAGCAAAGGAAATCTCCACGATTGCCATGCAGGGAAATCGCAGGGGGGAAATTAGGCACGAGGTGCGGAGGACAACAACTGGGAGCTAGAGCAGGCCAGGAGGTGCCAGGAGAGATGGCTGCAAGATGATGAAATTGAGACTGTCAGCTACCTTTGTTTGAACATTCTGGAACAGATTTAGACTCCTGGGATGAGTTTGGGATTGATTCAGTGGTGTATATGTATGAAAAATGAACACATACACAGACTTATTGGCTACCTTGACGGGAGTTATGAAAGAAATGAAATTAAGGCCCAAAAGTTTTGTAGTTATAACAACACCAATGTGGAAGCTGTTCCAAGCAAAATTGTGGTGTATTTCTATAGCTATGATGGGTGAGTTGGGAGATGGAAAAGGCACCTGGTTGGAGGTTCCTCAAAAAATTAAAAATAGACCTACCCTATGACCCAGCAATAGCACTGCTAGGAATTTACCCAAGGGATACAGGAGTGCTGATGCATAGGGGCACTTGTACCCCAATGTTTATAGCAGCACTCTCAACAATAGCCAAATTATGGAAAGAGCCTAAATGTCCATCAACTGATGAGTGGATAAAGAAATTGTAGTTTATATACACAATGGCATACTACGTGGCATTGAGAAAGAATGAAATGTGGCCCTTTGTAGCAACATGAATGGAACTGGAGAATGTTATGCTAAGTGAAGTAAGCCATACAGAGAAAGACAGATACCATATGGTTTCACTCTTATGTGGATCCTGAGAAACTTAACAGAAACCCATGGGGGAGGGGAAGGAAAAAAAAAAGAGGTTAGAGTGGAAGAGAGCCAAAGCATAAGAGACTCTTAAAAACTGAGAACTGAAGGTTGATGGGGGGTGGGAGTGAGGGGAGGGTGGGTGATGGGTACTGAGGAGGGCACCGTTTGGGATGAGCACTGGGTGTTGTGTGGAAACTAATTTGACAATAAACTTCATATATTGAAAAAAAAAAAAAAAGGAAAAGGCACCTGGTAAGTGGGGAGGAAGGGAGCAGTGAGAGTAGGAAGTGCGTAGATGACGCATAAAAAGGAAGACTCCAGAAGAAATATTGTCAACATGCTTTTTGATAATGGAGATATATATAGAGGTAGAGTGCTCACATTGAGTGCCTTACAGAACCATGCATATCTTTACGCTGTGTTTTTGGGTGGGGTGGGTTGTGTATGTGTGAGGGTGTGTGTGTGTATGTCATTCATGTAAAGTGAGAACTCAGTTAAAAATATAAGGAAAGCATTCTGAAAAGCAAATTGGCAAGAGAGTGAAAGCATTTATTTACTGAGCAAATGATCTTTGTTCCAAAGAGGTCAAGGATGGGTACATGTGTACATGGCTGGATGGCTCTTCCTCTGTGAAGTACCTGATTAGGACAATTCTCCATAGGCACATTTCTAAATCATCTTTGAGACTCAGGGTGGTTTTAATAATTCTAGAGTCTTAATCATGGCAGAGGCACTTCATCACCAGGGAATGATGCCTAGAGTTCTAATGATAAGAAAGTAATGGATATGCTCATTGCTCAGGGCCTCCTTCTTCTATCCACCAAGAAATCATACCGAAAGCCAGATACATGCTAAATTCTTTGCAGATTACAAAAAAAAGTAATAATAGGCCTCTGTGTTGTGCTGCACAGTTACCTTCGGCTAAAATCATCTCTTTGGCCATTTATCACTTCACTCCCCAAGCCCTGGACTCAGGTGGGAAGCAGATTGAGTCATTTGTAAACCCCATTAATTACAGATATATGAGACATATCTTCTTTAATCCTCCTTTCTCCAAAAGGCAAACTATGATTTGTTCCCTTTTCTATGACCTACACAAAGTAATCTTCCCAAGTAATATTAACATTTAGAATACACAGTCCCTCAAATGATTGTTGAACCCACTGCTTACTCATCCCAAGCACCAGATATTAATGACATTTTAAAGACATCCATCCCTGGCTTCCTGAGGTCCCTGTAGAGACTCAAGGAGAACACACTAAAAGTACAGAAAACTTACTTTGTTCTTGAGGAGACTTTGTAAGAACAATTTTTTCAAAGATGGGAGGATTTTTGAGTATTTCTGCCATATAGATTTGTGGGTGTATTGAACTACAGTCATTTTGGTTAACTATATGCTTTATTTGACCATGTTCCTAAAGAAGGCATTCCCCAAATACCAATGGACATGAAAGAAAAATAAACAAGCTGAAATGAACAAGCTGTACCCACACACTGGCTGACAGAGGGAAATATTCTGAACTTCTTACTCTACTTTTCTCTTTAGTCCGGGTTCCCATTCTACTCCATGTACTCCACACCATTGTGTGTCATTGTAAAGAAACAAGAGCAATGAGGAGAACTGACCAGAGGTAAAATGGTCGAGTGTGGCTCTTGGTCCGCTGACTTCCATTACCAGTATCTTTTTTTGTTCTTTAAAGGCCATCTTGGCTCCACAGTGGTGGAAACCCTTACAACCTGGTCCATGGCAACTGGCAGGACTCAGAGGCTTGGAATCATGAGACAGGCTTCCCACACCTGTATCTGGTTTTGACTGCAGATACATAGAATTGACTGGGAGCAAAAGGACACACACCTGGCTAACAACAGCTGGTGACTGCTTTCAGGTCTTCCTCAGGCCCCTGAAATTGAGCCAGTCAGAAACACATTTTTTGTTTGTTTGTTTTTGATGGTGTGGGTTCAGTACCTTTTCCTGGGATATAAAGGGGAGGCCCTTAGTTTTAGCTGCAGCAGGAGGAATTTTGTTACCACAAGAAATAGTTAAGTTCAACCATTTCTTTGGCCCATGCTCAAAATTCAACTTCTCCAGGAGCGTATCTGCTTGGCCATGTTAAAAGTCACCAGCCCAGGCTCTGACTGCCTGGGCCAGGGAGAGGCAGGATCTGGCCTCCTTAGATTCTAGATTCTAAGTGGGAAATGGGCACCTGGATTTACCAACCCACCAATGCCCCATGGAATACCAAAGAAGCAATTCTACAAAAGGGAAACCAAGTGATGTTAGGAAGGGGGAATACCACTAAATGACCACATTACACGAACCTACCCCTTTGCTCCCAAACTCAGACATCTATATAACCAACAATAAACCCTTAAAAAGTTTTAGTTGATAAGGGCTTGAAGAGCCTTAAATGTTTGTAAACATGTATTTAGTATGCATAATTCACTTAAATCTTTCTGATAACCTAGTAAGTAGAAGTTACAACTCCCATTTAAGATGAAAGAACTGAGGTTTATGGAGATAAATATTTTCCCACAGTCATCCAAGTAATAAATGGAGAAGCTGTAATTCAAGCTCAGTTCTGTTTGACCTAACACTGACGCTGGTACCACAATACTGGGGAAGCCCCAGATGCAAGCAGGGCATATTAACTGACCTGATGTTTTAGGAGAGAGTTTAGCACATTAATTAGCACACAGTAATTGAGAGGACCTATATAACACATTTCAAAAATTGACACCAGACTTGGAAAAACGAGACCCACCTGCCACAAATCGCAGGAAAAACACCCAGTTTACTGAAGACCAAAGACAAGATCGTTTTCTTTAGCATCCTCCACGAGGACAAACAGAAGAGTGTGGTCAGCGAACTTTCCAGTTTGTTGCATGACATGAAAAAAAGAGGTGATCAAACTTTCACTATTCTTCAGGTTCCAGCTGCTAACCACTGGTCATAGGTCACAAGGCAGGACCCTCATGAACGGGATTAGCGCCTCTACAAAAGACACCCCTTCCACCGTTGGAGGAGGCAATTACAAGACGGCCCTCCATAGAACCCGGTCATGCTGACATCATAATCTCAGACTTCAAGCCTCCAGATGTTGTTTATAAGCCACGCGATCTGTGGCATTCTGTTATAGCAGCTTGCCGCAAGACATAAGTATCCCTAATTCAAGTGGATTCATCATTCGTTATACTAAGATGTGATCTGGTGAACAGGCAAAAAGGCTTCTCACTAATGCTCACCGGACTCCGTCTCCTCACTCATAAAACAAAGAGGTTGAAGCCAACGATCTGTAGGTTTCTTTGTGTCTCCAACATTTTGTGCATTGGTGAGTACACAAGTGCATTTTGCAGTATTAGGTTTGACAGAAGATAATTTTGTAGACTTCCCAGGCAGCATGTGAGAACTCAGGGGCTCTTCTGCTGGTCCCTGGGCTTCATAATAACTTGCCCAGCTGTAAAGGGGGACACCTTCCCAGGGCATCTTATTTTTTTCTGATGTAATTTTCTGGTTCTCATGTCCTTTCTTCCACCTTGTTTAGCTTTTATTTTAATGATTTCTCATCAGCAAAGGACAAACCAGCAGTTATCCTTGGGCATGGTACTCACTCCAGGGAGAATATTGGAAATTTTTGACTTTTTGGTCTTTTAGTATAGTCAAATCTGAACATTTAAATGTTAAAACACATGAGTTTTCTTTTTCACACATCACTTTAAAATTTCGTCTTTATGTAACAAGATTTTTTGAAATTATGTTGACAAGTAGGTTATGTATCTGTGACTTACACTTTAGGATAGTACAAAGGACTTTATAAAATATTTATTATAAGAAGGACATATTATGGTTGAGGATCACCACTGTAAACGTACCCTGAGGCTAACCTGGTTTGCAATGGGGAGGAAGATAGGAAAGAAACTGTTGTACATTTGCTTAATACTACTCAGGTACTGTGCTTTGCTCTGTATGTTATCTCATTTATGCATGCTAACTTATCCTTCTAAGGTGGCAGGTAGTATTACTATCCTTTCACAGATGAAGACGCTGGGACTTAAGGAAATTTATTAACTTCTTCATTCCTTCATGAAATATTTTCGTGGCTCCTATGTGCATTCTAGGTGTTTGGGAGAGACAGAAAGGACACAATTTCTGCCATCAAGGAAATATTTGAGTCGAGAGAGATAACAAAGCAAAGCAGTAAGTAAATAAGTCAAGTCACATCGAGTTGGGTGTCATGAAGACAGGTGAATGAAATGCCTTGAGAAAACTTGCCCAAAGTCACATCACCAGTGAGTGGTGGGGGGTCCAAATGAACGAAGACATTGCTTTTTGATTGCAGTAACCACAGCACTACCATTACTAATATCAAATGACAAGGTCATCACCCCTTCTAACATTGTCTAAAAAGATGCCAGCATGTGTGGATGAAAAACCAGGGAGAAAGCTGTTCAAAGCAACTATTACTAAACATTTTTTTCTTGTTGCATTCCTGTCAGATGACGTTTGTCTCTCTCTCTCTGTCTCTCTCTCTGCCCTCCTAACACTGTTACAACAGTTTCTGGTTCTGCACTGTGCAATATCTTAGTGTGTGATGTTACTAATACTTATTAAAATGCATTTCTAAGTAAATAATGTTAAATGGTTTTCTGATCTTTTTAAGTTTATTTATTATGGGAGAGAAAGAGATCATGAGTAGGGGAGGGACAGAGAGAAAGAACCCCAAGCAGGCTCCGCACTCATGTGTGGAGTCTGCCGTGGGCCTGGAACTCACGAAACGTGAGATCATGACCTGACCCAAAACCAAGAATTGGACGCTTAACCCAATGTGCCACCTAGGTGCCCCCATTTTCTGATTTCTTAAGTGTGATTTTCAGAAACATCTTCAGTTTTATTCCCCTGTGGAAATCTATCTGTCACACCCAACTTGTGATAAGCACATCCACTCTATGAGATGAGAAGAATGTGTGCTGAAAACCCAGATGTAGACATTCTTTTTTAAAAAAAAAATTTTTTTACATTTATTTATTTTTGAGAGACAGAGAGAGACAGGGCATGAGCAGGGGAGGGACAGAGAGAGAGGGAGACACAGAATCCAAAGCAGTCTTCAGGTTCTGAGCTGTCAGCACAGAGCCTGATGTGGGGCTCGAACCCACAAACCGTGAGATCATGACCTGAGCTGAAGTTGGACGCTTAACCAAGTGAGCCACCCAGGTGCCCCTAGATGTAGACACTCTTAAAGATGAGACAGCAGGGCCTTTAGGCCAGACATCCAGAAAGGTGATTAGACCCTTCCTATGGATATGTGGCAGGGAGGTAAATAAAGCCTTCTATTAAAGAAAGGAAAGAAAAGCAACCAACAGGTAAAAAGAGATGACCTATAAACCTAAAGTATATATAGTCTGTGAGAATGCTTGGGAAAAAATTATACAGCTAAAAAACTTGCAAAGTTATGTTCTACCCTGCATTAGAAAATGTAGTGACTTCTAGTCACTTAAAGAGAAAGACAGGTAGGTCTTCTGATGTCTTAAAATTTTGTTCAAGTTATGTATTCCTTTAATAAACTTGGTAATCAGCAAATCTTATGTTTGGTGTTTTTAATCATGATTTCAACTCTCTTGGGAAAAAAAAAAAGAATGCAACAGAAAAGACAGCTCTTCTCTATGGGTCCTGGTGACGGCTGCCAAGGAAAGCATCCTCCTGGGCCTCTTAGCTACAGACCCAGCAAGACTTTTGATACTGTGGCTATTTTCCTAAAAGAAAACAGCCTCCCTGGAGAAATCGAAAGCTTCAGGGGGACACACTCTGTAACGTCCAGCTTATAACATAATGACATTCCCACCCAGGCATCATGCAGAGCTCATGTAAGTTCTTAAATTACCTGTGTTTGTTGAAAACATGTCAAACATCTAGTTATCTTCTTCATTCATTCTTTAGATTTTATGTGATATTCTTCAAGATCTTCAGAGATAAATAATATTCAGTGTTGACTGTTCGAAATGGCTACAGCAAATAAAAGGTAATTTTATATATATTTCATAGAAATTGTCTCACTGTCATCCTGGACTATTCCTTACCATTATGGATGCTCAATATTTTGACAGAAGCCAATCTAACATTTCTGCTTTAAGTATGTTTCTTTAAAGGCACACTTCTCCCTAAGAGTAATTAACAGTCTTACAATGAACAGCACGGTTAATTTCTCCAGTTGCATAACTTGAATTGATTTCATAAATTTGATAAAATTGAGTTCATAACTTTAAATTGTTTCTGTAATAATTTTTTTAGTATTCACCACCAAGTCAGCACTGGTCAGCTCAGACTCTGGGGAATTAAGTATCTATCTTGTACAGTCGGTTCATCTTTTGCAACTATATTGGCCAACTTGCAAATTTATCTGTAGCATGCCTGGATGGTTATGTAGAGAAAACAGCTACTCTCTGGGGGCTAATGTCTCTTCTCCACCAATCAGAATGCAGTTCATGATTCATTAGGTTTGTTGGCTAGATTATTTAACTTAATTCAGTATAAATTATTTAATTCCTATGGCCTTCCTGGTATTCAATATGAATGAAACAATTATTCCTGGACACAATCATCCAAATACCACCACACAGTTTTACCAAATCCCAAGCCAGTCGTTAAGTCCATCTATCTGCTGCTTTACATAAACTACTCATGCTGAGTTTTTGAGGGTTATAACATTACTGAAATTGTTTGGATTCAGTAAGGGATTATATGTTATTGTATATTTAATGAGAGAACATCCCAATTACATAGCAATGTGAGAAATCGTGAACTATTGCTAGGTAGCAGTTGTGTCCTTGTTGTGATAGCTTCCTTTCTTTTGTTATCTTTCTCATGGGGAAGGGAGTTCTGTTTTTTTCCAAATGTAATTCTGCTGCTCAGAAGGCTTCCTTTAGGCTAACCATCCCCAGACATCATGACTATCTGGTCAATGGTCGGTCGAAGTAGCCTAGACGGCAGGTCTTTTTTCTCTCCTATTGGAATTTCTATGACCGTGTCTCTAAACATGGTATGCCATGTCTTAGATTGGGCTCTCTGGAAACAGGTTCAGAGGCAGACAATTGTGTGCTTCTTGCAGGGAAGTGAGCAAGTCAGGAGTGGTAGCGGATTTGCACTGCACCCTGCAGCTCTGCTGATCCTACGTGGCACTCGGAGACTGAGACGATCTTTGGATCTCTGTATCATCCAGTCACTGGCTGTGGGCTCCTCTCTGGGAGGAGGCATGGCCCTGTGGCCAAAGGCAATTTCTATCAAAAGTTGTCATCGGCTGAAGCAGCTGGGGAAATGAGGGGCTCAGTCCTAAGGAGAGATCTTGCAACACCATCGATCCCCTGGCCCCATTCTTAGGAAATCCTGGATAAGGAATATTGACAAAGACTGAGATATGAAGGAACAGCATTCTTTCATTTATACACAGTCTTGGTTTCTTCCCCTCAATAAAGCTCAACTTAAATCTGTAAAAAAAAAAAATTACTATCCTTTTTCCTCCTTTTCCTTCTCTCCCTCCTTTGTCCTAAACAAGGCCAAGAATGGAATGGAATAAGGTAGACCCCAGAGAATTTCACCCTGGAGAATAACCAACAGTGGAGCAGCGTCGTGCCGTTCCCATGAGACCTAGCTGGAACCTGGGGAGCTGGCGTTGCAAAGGGCTGCTTAGAGACCTGGGAAGAAAAGGGCACTTGGCAAAGGGAAGAAGCTGTTTAGGTTTAGGAAAGGTAGGTTATAAATGACAATTTGGTTTTTTCCCTCTTCCTACTGAAGCAAGCACAATGCGTTGTGTACTCACACTGGCATTTCTCTGGCTAGCCACACTTGATCACCCCTCCAATCTTAAAGGAGGCTCCTTGCCACTTTCATATGTTATCAAGGACCACCTTCCCCACCCACACCTCTATCTGTCCTATTGCTTGCTTTCCCATGATCCCTTCTTTATTTACTCAGTCATTAATCGCTGCATTTATCTATGGACCTCCTCATATGTACCGGTTCTGTTCTGGATAGCATAGTTCTTGATACATTGTCTGGAGCTTTGGATACTTGTTTTGTTTCCTTTTTGGTTCTTGTCTGTTCCTGTCACTTGTACTCACAGCAGGTCCTGATCTTTGCTCTCCAGGTAGGTGTGAGACTCGTCTAGTTCCTTTGTTTCTTGTTATCAGAGTCCACTGATGTCTGCTTGATGAGTCTGGCCTCGTCTCCACATAAGGTCTTTAAATGGTTTCTGAGAACTGCTTTGGCCTCGAGTCAGAACCATTTCCTTGGAACACAGATACTCTGCGGCACCACCTGTGATCCACTGCCACCAAATCCACTGTGAGCAAAGGGCAAATACATCTCCCAATAAACATGTCTATGGCAAGGGCTGAACGGAAAAGCCAGATCATGGAAGAGGAGCACAACACATCCAAATGTGGAAAAGACGAACAATAAAACTAGACTCACAGCTTGTCTCTGATAACAAATTAATCATTTGACTTTGTGTGCATAGTTATTTGCCTCACTCCCAGGGACTGAACCTACCTAAAAAACCATTTTACTTCTAGTTTGGAAAACACCTTGACGTTTTGATTTTATTCTGGTCCAGTAGTTCCAGATCCATTTGCTTTTGGCTTTAAGTGGTTCCTTTGGTTGGTTTTTTTTTTTTTTATTGTTTGTTTATTTTTGAAAGAGAAACAGAGATGGAGTGTGATCAGGGAAGAGGCAGAGAGAGAGAGAGAGAGAGAGAGAGAGTGCGCGAGATACAGAATCCAAAGCAGGCTTCAGGCTCCAAGCTGTTAGCAAAGAGCCTGATGCAGGGCTCCAAACCACGAACCATGAGATCATGACCTGAGCCAAAGTCGGACGCTTAACCAACTGAGCCACCCAGGCACCCCTCTTTTTTGTTATTTTAAAGATCTTTTTTATTTTCTTGCTCCAAAATGTTGGATTTTTATTTTATGACTTGTTTCACTGTACGTTCCTTTTCAAAGGGAATAAATCAACAGATTGAGCGCACTTGTTCTGAAGCTTAATACCTATTTAGACTTTTCAATGTAGCAATCTACCTTGATGCCAACATGAAGGATGCCAGGGTAACAAGAGCTGTCCTAAGTATGTTGCATGCATTAACTCCTTTAACCACACAATAGCTCCATGGCAGGGCATTGTTATTTCCAATTTATAGATAAGGAAACAGAGGGACAGAGAGTAACTTGCCCTCTCTCACCAGGAAGTCCAACTCCAAAGCTATGCTCTCGGCCATTAAGATACACTCTCTGGTTGGAAATGCACTCAAAGATCATTGCAAAGTCCGATTATAATGCCCACTTTGTTTTGAATGCTTTCCTGCTACTCCCTCATGCTATGGCCGACTTCTTCCATGATCTCTGTTCTGTTTATTCAAGCCAGTAGTCCACAGCTGGTGAAAATTCACTTACTATGCAGCTTAAACATACGAGCCTGCTTTTCTGTCTCACTTCATCATTGACTTTCCATATATTTTCTATTTTCACTCGAAGCTGTAACTGGAGTCCCTTGACTATCTCTGTTAATTTTTTCTCCTTGCCATGTTTCGTTTTTCATTTAAATTTTCTGTTATCTGAGTTAGTAAAGATAGAACTTTTATGAAAGACTCAATATCAAAATTAAGTTGCATTGCAAGGTATTATGGGTAAAATTGGAAGGAAGGGCATTAAAAAACCTCCACTGCGGTTCTCTGACTGAGTCTATTTGAGGCTAATGCAATAATCTTGGCTTGATTTATGATTATATATTCTGACGTCTAAAAAGCTATTTGTAAGTAGTTTAATAAAAGGCTATTCCTCCAAATTTCGAATTAGCAGTGAAGGTGATTTCTATTAGAGAAGACATTTGTAGAGGATTTTGTTGTCAATGTTTAATAAAGTGAGTTCTTTTTCTCAATGCAATACACACTGTTGACTTGTCGCACAGCTCTGGGGACCTGATGTTGTATTCAAAGAGTAAATACATATCTCTGCTCATTGTTTATTTACTACATTTTGGGGTGCATATGGCAAAATTATTTTCCTTACAGTTCCCAGTTCAGTTCTTTCTCTTGATTATGTGTTAAAAATATGTGCATAAGGTTCCTCAATATCTCAGTTTAACAATGTGAATCTCCAAGCTTCTTTTATTAAATGACATTTCCAGTATTTTAATGAGGGTTTGACATTTTCACATGTTACAATTTTGTTTTATTTTTATATTCATTGAAGTGACTTTCATGCTGCCTTTGTGCTGCTGACTTTCGTGCTGTCGATTTACAATTTCTAAAGGTACTTGGAGACACCTTTTCAGAAAGAAGAAGTACATCAAGAAATCATTCAGGATTCTCAGTGTTAGTATTCAGAGGAGTGCATTTTTTAAAAAATGACTTGCAAGGCTTTAAGTGTAGGATTTTTGTTCTGCCCAACATCCAAAGCTAGGCTCTTTGGAAATGGCAAAAGCCACACATGATTTAGACCAGGGGCTTGCAGATTCAAACAACCAGGGGACCTGGTGGGTGACACAGGTAACTGTGGAGGACTGGAGCAGGCATATGACCTGCAAAGAAGGCAGCTGCAAATCTGCTCTTTCCAATGGTCACTGTGAGGGGAGATCCAGGGTCCTCAGATTTTTCAGCATTCTAACAGAATACGAGACTCTGGCTATTTACATGGAATATTCTGAGTTTTAACTTTGGCTATCCCAATTTAGATTTTCTAGCACACAATTAGATACCTGTATTATGTATACAGAGAATGACCAATGCTTCAAAGGTATGGTTGGAGATTGCTTTCAAATGATTTAGAAATGCATAGCCTCATTCTGGGACTCTTTAATTGCCTACTAATGGCAGAGCAGCATATTGACCAAGCAGCACCCTCAGTTTTTAAAGAACCCACAGTCTAGGAGAAGGTCTAAGACACTACAAACATAACTCAATGGAAGGTGAAGTCAGAGAAATTCCAAAAGGGATGCTCAAATGAAATTCAAAGGATGGAAAAGTCACATATGGTTGGTGAGATCAGAGACTGGTTCATGGCTATTGAGATGAGCCTTGATGGTAAATATAGGCAGGAGGACATTCCAGAGGGAGGACACAGAGAGATCTGTGTGGAGGCAGGAAACAGGAGCATGGGGATGCTTGGAGAGCCCCATGTCTCCACTGTAAAGCCAGGGGATCCATCAGCAAGAAGGCAAGCAAAGGAGGTTGCGAGTATGTTGCAGAGGGCTGGACAGAGGAATTCATACAAGGATTTTAGTAAACAAAGACAAGCTGTCAATGCTTTTTGACTTGGAGAGTACTATATCTCAGATTTCTTTGTGTGTGTGGTGCGGGGGGGGGGGGGCAGTTAAAAAAATGATGGCAAAACAGGAGAGACAGGACTGGAGATTAGGACTTCAATGTATAAATTTGGAGGGGGCCACAAACAGTCAGCCCATAACAAATGAGCATGTAAAGAGTGCAAGAGTTTGTTCCTTTTGCTACTGAAATAACATTGGAGTAATATTACCAATACTTTAATGTACCAAGGATTAAAGTGAATTTAATGGCAGGATGAGAACAAAATGCTAATGTAGCCCATGACATGCCTTATATAATACAGAGAAAACCATGTACTCTGTGCTTTCTTCTATAATAAAACTTTCCAGGTCACGAATTAGGTCACAACTCTTGTACCCTTTTTCTAGTAAAGAATCTGGCTCGTAAGTAGGTGCTCAAAAAATGCTGGTAGAACGAATGAAGAATGGTACTAGATGGTTTTTCATTTAAAAAAAAAAGCCATGTGTTCTGAGCCCCAGCCAATTCTTTCATCAACCCTGAGTTTCTTACCACCACACACAGCTTGTGGCTTTGGACTTGAAGAGCAAAAAGTGAGAGATTATATGGAGAGATCAAAGAAGCAGAAGGGAGTTCTCCATAATGGTTTGAACGTAGAGTGGACTTACATCTTACTGGAGGTTAGGTTTTAAAGGCAGAATGCAAAGAAAATGTGTCCTGTAGTGCAAATTACCCTTGAAAACTCTTCAGGAAGGGACTGTGTTGGTGATGTATAAAACATACCTCTTTTTCTTCCAGCACTGAACAGCCCACTGCTTTCTTCTGTTCAGCACAGGTTGAAGTTGGTTTGAATTGAAGGGTTATATTTTATGAAAAAAATACACTCTTAAATGCTAGAATTAACTCCATGTGGTGATATGCTGTCACTATAAAAAGCACCCCAGGACTGAGATGGCCCAAGAATGGCAATTTTCTACCTCCTTTTCTCAGTCTCATGTTAGGATTTATGACCTTGAGTCGAATGGTGGAAGGGGATCTCATTCTCTCTCTCTTCTGCCCACCCCTCTCAAGTCTTATTTGGCCCAGAATGTGGGGGGGCTGTTTTCTACCAGCTTACAATACACACATGGTTTCTCTCTGCCCATATGTAGGGGAGCTGAATTGTATCTGGCCATAGCACAAGAGCTTGCTGCTTGTGCTCATCAGAATAAGCATCACCTACCACTTGCAGAGACATCTGCATGCAGAGACACGCTGGCAGAGACATCATAAGGAAGTGAGCCAGGCAGGTGTGGATCAATTCCCTGTCATGGCTACAGCGGTCAGAACAACATCAGGATGGGGACAACTGGCATTCAGTCATGGGAAAAGTGGAATCATGTCCACATATTTTGATTTCAGGGATCTTCAAAGGACCCTGGGCATCACCCTCTGCTAAAGGCATAGTGGAAGGACCTTGGTTTTTGGAGAAAGGACATCAATAGTGGAATCCTAGTCTCACTTCCTTTTCCCCCCTCATGAATATCTACTATCTTTCCCAGCTTTACTGAGGTATAATCAACAAATAAAAATTGTTTATATAGTATTTAAGGGATACAACATGTTCTATGCATAAAGATTATAAAATGATTGCTACAATCAAGCTAATCATCCATCACACGGTTACCTTTTTTTTTGTGGTGAAATCACGTGAGATCTACTCCTAGCAAATGTCACGTTAACAATACAGTATTACTTACCATAGTCACCATGCTGTGCACTAGGTGTCCAGGACCTATTCATACGGCATAATTGAAACTTTCTACTTTTTGACCAGCATCTTTCCATCTCCCAGCCTGGCAACTACCATTCTGCCCTCTACCTCTATGAGTTGGACTTTTTCAGATTCCACATGTGAGATCACGCAGTATTTGTCTGTGTCTGACTTACTTCCCTTAGCGTAAGATGCTCCAGTTTCATTTATGTTGTTGCAAGTGGCCTTTTTAAAGGCTGAGTGATATTCCATTGCATGTACGTTTTTATCTATTTTGTCTGTTCATCCATCAACAAACACTTAGGATACTTCCATATCTTGTTGACCTCCTCTCTTTGTGATTGTGAGATCTTTGGCAGAGTCTCTGAGCAATTAATAGGTGGATAATAGGGATATGGTGAAGATCAAATGAGAAAATGTATAGAAGGCATTTAACTCTGGGCCTGGGAC